CAATACTATGTAACAACCTAAATGGAAAAAAAATTTGAAAAAGAATAGATACATGTATACGTATAACTGAATCACTTTGCTGTACACCTAAAACTAACATAACATTATTAATCAACTATACTCCAATATAAAATAAAAGGTTAAAAATATAAAAAAATAATTTTAAAAAAGGAGTACAGATCTAACCATGAAAAATAAAATCTCAAACAGGACTCAAATTGCCAATCATAAGAAGAAAATGATAAAATAATTTTATGTTAAAATAGAGAACTTCCATTGATCAAAAAGACACCGTTAAAAGAGTAGAAAATGCAGCTCACAGAATGGAAAATCGTATTTATAATGTATATCTGACAAATAACTCATTTCCAGAATTTGTAGAGAATGTCTACAAATCAATAAGAAAAAGACAAAAACCTAATAGAAACTGGCAAAAATGTGGACAGGCACTCCACAAAATATGAGATCTAAATGGTCAATAAACATACAAAAAGGTAGCAAGTCTTATTAGTGACCAGAAAAATGCAAATTAAATGCACAATGAGATACCACTACACACCGAGCAGAATGGCTCAGATAAGAGACAGACAGTATCAATTGTTTAGTAGGATGTAGAGCAAGTGGAACTCCCATATATACTGCTGATGGGGCTGTAGGTTGGTAGAACCATGTTCAAAAACTTTTTGGCAGTGTCTTCTAAAGCAAAACGTAAGCACATCTCATGATCCAGCAGTTTTACTCCTAGGTATACCCATTACAGAAATGCACATACAAGCATATTCACAGCCCCAAACTACCCAAATGCCCATCAACTGTGGAATGAATAAATAAATCGTGCTATATTCACAATCAGTGCAATGAGAATGAGAAAACTACAACCACACACCACAGCATGGATGTCTTTCACAACATCATGTTGAGTGATACAAAAGAGTACATACTGCATGAAATGCATTCACACGAAGCTTTAAAACAGGCAAAACTAACATGTGCCTTTAAAAGTCAGGACAGTTCTCCTTTGCAAGGTTTTCGCTGGCAGGGGGCCTGAGGGAGGTTTTCGGGGTGCTTGAATGTTCTGGTTTTTGATCTGGGTGCTGATTACATGGATGTGTTCAATTTGTGGAAAAGCATCAAGCTGGACGCTTATGACCTGTGTGTGAAACTGACAACTTATAATTCATGCATAGTAGAAAATCTCACGGCATATGCTATTTTATCATTTTTCAGTTTATTTTCGATTATATTTGGAGAGGCAGATGCTTCAAACCAACCATTATACATTAACCAAGTTTTACACAAGCCATTTGAAAAAGGATCTAAAAATGTGCTTAGTTATTGGTATTATATAACAATGATCAAGCACCAAGAGTGTGCTGAGAGCTTTTCAGAACAAACATAGAAAAGACGAGTCCCTGCCTTCATGGCTACCCATTCCTTTAGAGTCTTGCACATAAAACTTCACCTAATATTTCACACCCCTTTACTCATAAGGCATAAATAAGGAAGTTTGTTGCATTTCTCATTGTTACTTAATAAATATTTAATATCCTTTTCCCCAAGTATACCAACTATTACTAATATTTTTGCCTTTAAATACAAATTTCCGAAGAACAATATACAGTATACTCTGATTTGGTATTCACACAGTTGACCACAATATTCTTGCAGGTTGGTTATAATATGAAGCATGTTGAATTTCAACATTCACACATTTTTATACCACTTAACAGAATCATTTACTATTGGCAGAGCTTTTTTTGTTAAGAAAATGAGGTGCCATTGCTCTTAGATTGATAAACTGTAAACAAAAACAGCACTGCCTTGATTCCAATAAGGGTTCAGAACTTATGGCACATTCAGGACAGTGCATTTTAGCACATCTATCAAGCTAGCCTTGCAGATACCAACTACATAGCTACATGCCCTAAAATACTAACAATTTATGATCAGCTAGTAATGGGTGATATAAGTATGATTTGCTTGACTTGTATTTTCCGTTTAAAGGAGAGGATACTGGCGTAAAATATCTGAAAACTGTGAGCTGGGAAATTTTTTTGCTTCTCTGCAAGGCCGTGTTCCAAGCAAATTCAGAATGAAAAAGAGGATGAAATGATTCCAACTTTAATCACTGGCTAAAGAGATCTAATTTCAGAACAATCCCTTAACGACATCTGATTGTTCATTTTTTTAAATGCAAGAGAAATGAAGTGAATTTTGATAGTGTAGTGATTTCTGGTTTCGGCACAAGAAATCATGCTTCATGTGAAAATGCCAGAGCGCGTGGTAGGAGCTGGCGCCCACTACAGAAGTCGGGCCAGTCCCTATGTCACCTCCAGGGAGCTCACAGCAGCAGGAGATTAGAGGCAGGTTTTAGAGGGATGGGTAGATGCTTCCTTCCCGGCCAGACTCTGGTCTTGACCCTTTCTGCAAATAGGATGGAGGAACTGGAGTGAGTCTGGGGGTCCAGGGAAAGGTGTAACAAGCTTGGGATCAATGGAGAGAAAGGACCCAACTGTGAACTTCACCTTATCTAGATTCCAAGACCCCAAGCATCCATCAGGATTCAAGCCATGGATAATCCCTTTCCAGAGGAAACCACCTTGCCTTTGGGCCACCACTGTGTGGTTTCCCAGGGGTATTATCAGGTCTGGATGTTTCCATTACGTGGCAATGATGCTGAGTTGAATTTTAAAGCTACACTGGACTTACAGCAAGACTAAATTTCTTTCACAACCTCTCCAGATATGAAAATAGTAGAAGAAAGTTCTACAGAGTCCCTTCTCTTCCATGTGTGGGGTGGGGCTTATAATCATGCCCTCCCTACGGAGCTAGGCACATGGCCCCAACAGGGCCCATTAGGAATAGATTCACCCAAGGGCAGTGGCAATAGTGGTTTGGTCCATCCACCATGATCCTACCTGGCAAATGAAGGAGTCCGAATGGGATTTGACAAATTTTTCTTATCCTGGGTAACTGCATCTCCACTTCTCTGCCAATGATAGAGCAAGAGATTGGGAACAACCTATCTCTGCTGCTCTCGTGGCTTAACCTGTGATAAAGGTGACAGTGGCAGGACTGGGATGTGTTCTAGAGCCGTACTGGTTGGGAAGAGAGCTGGGATGGCAACACCCAACTCCTGAGGGTATTAATCTAGAATCCCTTTTGGGGTGAAAGAAACCACCTTACTGAATGTGCCCAACCCAAAACAGAGCACCAAAAGACTAAAATTCTGACAGTAGACAGTAATATATATATATATTTCATTTTCAATTATAAATCCTCAGTTTTCCATACTAAGGCTTAAATTGCAGTCACCTAGCTGAAAATCTGTACATAAACATGAGACTAGAAATAGATGACATGAAGACCTCTAAAAACGAAGGTTCACTACAGATGAAAGCATCCATCCCTTATTTATTAACAACATGAAATGTTCTGACTACCCTTTACAGTGAACAATAGGATTAGACCCAGCAAGCTAAGCATTATTTGGAAGTTTTTAGGATGGATGCTGAACGCCTATTGCTTTAAAATCTGAGATGCTTCCCAAACTTCTCTTTCAGGAGTGTATTATATCATCCAGAGTGATGATTCTTACCACCAGCATTTATTTATAATCCACCTTGTTCTCAGAAGAATTAAGGTAGCTAGTTTCTATCAATCGTTTTTCTTTAACCTGTAACAAGACAGTAGGATCAAATGCCGAAAAGGATTCTTTCCGTCCAATTATGTCAAAGCACCATTCAACAGGTGGAAACTGAGATCAAATTCTAATGAAATTACAACGGCTTCCTTACACTGAAGAAACCTTGCTCTCAAGTTATTTAACAGAGATGACAATAAACCAAACTTAGGTATTTAGATAGACATTATAGATAGATAAACGGTTAAATAGATCATTTTTTTTTTTTGCACAGCTGACAAGTATTCAAAACTCTGGAGTAGGTGTTGGGGTAGTTGAGAATACCTCACAGCCTTTATCATATTATTGACAAGCTTTCAAAAATGTTTTAAAGCCATTGGAAATGGTTGGTATTAGTGGTGCACGGAAACCGTGGTTTATTGTTAGAAAGTTCAGGCATTGTCTCTACTCTTCAAGGCACAAGGACAAGTTCCAAATTCTTCAACTCATGTGTGAGAAGCAGAGCAACGGGTACCACCAGGAGACAGAAGATTGAGAGGAACCACACACCAAAGCAAGAATGGGAGATCCTTTGGGATATGCCATGACTTTCATATATTGATCGTACGTCGTTAGCAAGCAACTCTCCCACACCTTGAGGTGGGCGCAGGAAGGTCTCCTGGCCTGAATACCTTGGCCTATTAAGCAGAGAGCACACTTCATGCCATGCCTGACTTGGAAGTCCAGCACCTTCCTACCCGGGGCACCAGGAGGAAGGTCCAGAACGTTTCCGTGAAGATGTGCAATGAAGATTGCAATGATGACAGAAGGGCAAGAATGAAAAGTCGGTAGCCCTTGATAAAAGTCAGCAGAGAAGTAACCCCCTTTATGGATACATACCCTTTTTCTTTGCCAGCGATGGTCTAAGAACATTAAGGGAAAGATAACCCATGCTTTTTTTTTTTATTCTCATCTTGCTATCTCCCTTAGCTTCCCTAAAAAAGGCATGGATTGACCATCTCCTCTGTAACATATCCCCCGCCATGAAATTTCATCAAAATGGAAAGAATCCAACCAATTAACCTTCCTCTTTTTTTTGCTTGGAATTCAGTTTGTATCTACTGGTAGTCCATTACATTCTTTTGGTAGGAAAAGATATTGCACTTCTTAAAATTCATCCATGGAATTAAGTCAAAGCTAATAGGTAGGTAGATATCTCTCTAGAATGTATACTTCCTGAAGGCCATCGTCAGTGTTTGCAGAAAAGCCTCCGTGATTTCTATTTCAACAAACTGTGGCCCCACTGGCATGTGATTTTAAACTACAGAGGGAGATGTCGGTTGTCATGAGCTGTAGGCAACATTGCACGTCCAGTGGCTCATGATTTCATTGTGCAGATGGGCACGACGATGACCAGGATGACTGTGCACGTCGCTGCAGCGATCAGAGCAGCCATCTTGCAGACCTTGGCTCGTCTGAACTCGGCTTCTTTCCTTTTCAGTAATGAGTCGTAGCCTGGAGTATAAATATCTTCCATCCAGTATTCTAAGTTGTTTGGGTTTAAAGATTCTTGAGTCTAAAAGTGAAGAGAAGATGTTAGAAATATGGTGAATATGTGCAACAGGTTCAAGATGTTCCGACAGTCATCACCCCTGAAGCATCTCAGAGTTGTCTGCAGCTTGCAGGGGAGATGACCTAGGAGCCCAATGCTGCCCACCAGCCCCTCCTGAGGTGGACCACCAAGGACTTGGGCTCCCACACATCCCAGATTGTACCTGCCCCTCTCCTACTACAAAGGTCGTGATGGGGGACTTCCCTGGTGGTGCAGTGGATAAGACTCTGTGCTCCCAATGCAGGGGGCCAAGGTTCGATCCCTGGTCAGGGAACTAGATCCCATATGCATGCCACAACTAAGAGTTTGTATGCCACAACTAAGGAGCCCATGTGCTGCAACTAAGGAGCCCGCCTGCCACAACTAACACTCAGTGCAACTAAATAAATAAATAAATAAAATTTTAAAAAACAGGTCACAATGGTCTTGACACAGGGAAACCCAGAGATTTCCTGGGAGCAAGCAAAATAGGGCCGAGAAACCAGACTCTACGCCTCAAGGGCGTACGGCCAAGAACAGGCTGGCCCTGCTGCGTGGGAAGCAGGGAAAGTCACTGAAAAATATTCTCTACTAACGGTCCCTAAGAACAGAGGTGTCTAAAGCTAGGCTACTGTATTACTCCCAGTTCTTCCCAGTTCTTCAGTAAAGTCTCTACTGAAAAAAAAAGGCAACTCCCAGATAAGCAGTTCAAACAAAACATAAAATATTTCCATTTCAAACATCTGTCAGGCCACTGCTCACAGGCCAGGTCTACAGACCAGTGGCAGGCCACCCCCATGCCAGGTGCAGGGCCCCCAGTGGGAGAGACCCCCACCCACGGACATTTGTCTCCCAGCCTCCCTGAGATTAGTGCCTGTCTGCAGGAGAAGTATTATATTTAACCTGTTATCACCCAGGAGTCCCATTCCCCATGGACGGCTAGAATCTATTTCCATAAAGAAAGGCAGTGTTCTCATTTTACGGCAAACATTTAATAATGTGACTGTCATATAAAAGCAGCAACACATTGCAATTCCAAGTGAGGTCGTCTAAATCTTTGAAACACAAGCAAAATATCCATTTTGAAGATTTTCTCAGATTGTTTAATGCTCATAAAGATGGGCATGTTACAAATCACATACACACACACAGGATTACAAAACAAATGCTTCCAAAACTTAAAAAGAAACCAACTCAGTTGTACTATGTTATTGGAATATTGATTATTCTAAACCCTATTAGTCATTCTCCACCTGTCCTTTCAGAACCATTCTCTGTTCTTTTCTGCCTTGCTCTGTGCCCCCGAGACCAGCCTATATGGACACATCCCAGGTGGATTCAGTCAGTGGGGCACTGCTCCCTCCCTGATGGGCCACAGTTCTATCAGGTACCTGCTCTCACAGCTGTGGGTCTTGGTGGGTTTCAGAAACAGCTCCCTTTCCTTGACCTTCAGATCCAAGGGCAGCAACAGCCTCTCACTCATGCTGGTCCCTGGGCGCTTCACGGGCTCTAAACCCTGCCTACACCGCCGCCAAGAGTCCCCTCCTTCCCACTCCCATCATCCGTGAGTATGCCATCTGCTTCCTGCTGGGATGCTGACGACCCACATGCCGTGGACTCCTCTGGCTGCTTTATTGCTCTCCTGTTTTGTTTTTGTTTTGTTTTGTTTTTTGGCCATGCGGCGCGCAGGATCTTAGTTCCCTGACCAGGGATAGAACCCGGGCCCCCTACATTGGGAACATGGAGTCTTACCCACTGGACCGCCAGGGAAGTCCCTGCTCTCCTGTTTCTAATGGCCTTCCAGTACAGGGGCCAGCAGACTCCAGCCCATGCGCCAGATGCCTTTGTACAGCCTACCAGTTAAGAACGGTTCTCACATTTTTAAATCATTGAAAAAAAATAAAAGGAAAACAATAGTCAGTGGTATGTGAAAATCATATGAAATCAAATCTCCGTGTCCCAAAATAAAATTTTGTCGAAACACAGCCATATCCAGTCATTTACAAGTTGCCCATGGCTGCTTGAGACAATTATTGGCAGAGTTGAGCAGTTGTGATGGAGACTGTAAGGCCTGCAAAGTCTTAAAGCAGTTACTCTCTGGCCCTTTAGAGAAGAGTGTGCCAATATTCTAGAATATTCTGTACAATGTTGCATAATGAAAAGAGAATGGGACTTCGGGGTCCCTGAAATCCTCCCAGGTCCCCTTCCTCACGGAGGCACAATGTTCAAAGACTTTTCCAATTATTCATGTTATCTGGAAGGGCGGGGAGGAGTGGTAGGCAACGCTGGCCATTGCGAGGACCCACACCATGAGAAACAGGACATGCTCCATGATGGAAAAGTCCTTAAAATGCAGGATTGTCTGTTCAGACTTTGCAAGAAGCTCCTACTCCAGCACTTCTGCTAAGTCCCAGGAGCCACGGTCTCCCTGAGTTGCCCAGGGCATTTCTGCTACTGCCCAGCTCCGGCTGTTAGGACAAGTGTCCTTATGCTTGGGCTGCAGCTCTTTCCGCAACACAGCTCTGTCCTCCATGGGCACTTGGGATCGGTCTGTCTCCCTGGACATGAAAGCTCTTCAGCAATTTAATGGGTACCCTAGAGTAAACCCAATGGGTACCCAAGGAGTAAACAGTGTGTAAACATCACATCAGATTTTGTCTTGTTCCCTCCAGCTCAGACAGAAGGAAACTGGCTTCCTTTCATAGGTAGTTATGCTTTAGGGGCTGGGATTCATCCTGTGAAGTCAATTATTTTTAATTACTTTTTCCAATAACCGCAAGCTCTCATGACACCCAGTGGGACACAGGGGGCATCCTCGGTTGTTAATTACTCCTGCTGAGCACTGGAAACGGAAACGGGGCCTGTACCTTTGCTGCGCCCTCAAGTGGCCACTGATGGCAAATTTACATCTTGACGCCACGGGGCCCCAAGAAGATGGTCCAGATGCGGAAGCTGCCCTAAGACCATACCTGGATCTCTGCAAAGCGATGAAAACAAGTAAGGTGGTGGCTTTCTGCCTTCATTGAGCTCCTGATACCTGTTCTGTTTTGCTGCAAACACCCTCGAAAGGCTATCGAACTCTTTCCTGTCTTATATTTTTTTGTGAGACTAGATACACTAACCTTTGCATTTTAAAGTGATGTCACCTAAAGCTCTCTAATCTAAAGATCTTTTATCTTTTATAATTTTGCCTTTACGCTTCCTAAAAATTGGCACTTTAAAATTGCATGTATCTGTAGGAGCGAAATCTCTCAGACTCTGCCTCCCAAACTTTAAAAAGATGTTTCTCAGTCTATGACTCATTCAATTAATCTGCTCCTGTCAAGGTCATCCCATGATACTGGTGAAACATTGATTATTCCACCAGGTGAGCCATTCACACCTCTGGGCCTTTTGTGACTCGCCTGCAGCTCGCGGCATCCTAATACCCACAGGTTGCAGTGTGGTAGCCACAGCAGAGCTCTGGGACCCTCCTGCAGGAGAAGCAAATCCTATCTAGACCGCTTGCCAGCAGGATGGTGACAGGAGAGGATGTGGCCTGAAGGGTCAAGTGGTGTGCAGCTGGCATGGGGACAAAACATGAAGGAGGTGACAGGGGCCAGGAGTACCTCTGAGGTGGTCCTGATATCACCACCCACTTGAGTCTCAAGATCTGGCCAGAGATGTCCCTTCCCATAATTGCTGTCATTTAGGGCCCGACATAAACAAATGCCACTGCAGTCATTTGTGTGACATGAAGCTCTACTATACTGTCATCAACAGAAAAATGACATGGTGGAAAGGCAACATAGGAGGAAGTACACGAGTCTTATTGCCAGATAGTCCATTATGAATTTAGACTTGTCAGACCTGCAGCAAGTTCTTGTGCTCCTCGGGGCCTTGATTTCCTCATTTATAAACTTCAGATGAACATCATCACTCCCGCCTGCAGGCCACTGTGCCTTGTGCGAGAGACCGTGATCAAAAGTCCCATACAGGGCTTCCCTGGTGGCGCAGTGGTTGAGAGTCCGCCTGCTGATGCAGGGGACGCGGGTTCGTGCCCCGGTCCAGGAAGATCCCACATGCCGCGGAGCGGCTGGGCCCGTGAGCCATGGCCGCTGAGCCTGCGCATCCGGAGCCTGTGCTCCGCAGCGGGAGAGGCCACAACAGTGAGAGGCCCGCGTACCGCAAAAAAAAAGTCCCATACAGAGTTGATCTATTTCAGCATCATTTCATCAGCACCAAAATGCCTTTTCGGTGCTTTCTTAATGCCAGGTACTTTAAATACATTACTTTCATTTCTGACAGTGACTCTGAAAGTTAGATATTATTATGGACATTTAACAGGTGAGGGAACCAAAGCTCAAACAGGTGAACATCCCAGGCCACACAGCAAAGGAACCCTGGCTTAGAACCCACACTGTGGGAAAACACATTTCTTTTCTCGCCACTGCACTGCACCTCCTGCAGCCCTCCTGGCTTTAGGGAGAGGCTATTTCAGGGGAGACCCTGCCATACCACCCCCCCCCACTGGCATCTCTCCAACTGCTTTTAAGTGGTGTGGACCTGCTGGGACCCGTACGTGAGTGGTGGCGTTGGGATGATAGCCTCGCTGCCCACAAAGCTAGCTGGCAGGTGGGGACAGGGTACTTCCTGTGCTCCCGAGGTGATGTGGACACACAGACAGACACAGTGTGGATGGAACCAGGTGGAACTGCCCACCACAATGAAAGTGGCCAAAACCCAGCCCTGCCTGTGGTTGAACAGAAAACATGCCCTCCAGCCACAACTGTATTCACAGAGCTTCCGGGGATGGCGCTTACCTGGGACTGCTCCGTATGGAAACATAATCCATAGCTCGGCTCCCACAAATATGCTTTTATCCCACGTGCTACATGTGGAAGGAGAAATCAGCTTGTGTTTCATTAAACAGTTGGGCTGAGGTCTTGTGAGCAAATACGAGAATCTGCACTTGGTATGGAGTCTTAAATGCATCGTTAGCAAATCGGATGGCCAAAGTCGATCAATCAATCAAGCAAGCATTCCCACTGCTACATGTTTATGAAGCAATAAGCAAAATAGCAATCTCCTTGCAAAAAATCTCTGCTCTACGATGTTATGCAGGTTCAGAATTCCATGGTGGGGACCCAGGGAGCTGAAGGTGAGGGAGCGGGCCGGTTAGGGCATCCGCTATCCATTCCTGCATCCGCCAGGGTGTGGCTGGGCTTCCCCCACCCGGGGCAGTGAGAGGCTCACCTGCAGGTCCAGGGCTGTCAGCTTGCCCTTCTCGCCCGCGTTGCGAGCATACTCCTCGATGGTCCAGGAAGGCTGGCCCCGCTTCACCTCCGCCAGCTCTGTCAGCCGCATGTCTGTGTACAGAGGGTTGTTCTTCATGTGGGCCTTAAGGGAGGCGGGGTAGGGGTGAGGGCTGAACACCTGCTCCACCAGGAAGCCGTCTTTGGGCTGCTTGGGCAGTCGGTGCTGCGGGGGGATGTCATACTGCCTGTCTGCCTGCAGAGGGGCACAGAGGAGTCCAGAGAGCGACACAGACGCCGTCAGAGAGCCCACAGTGCCAGTGGGCAGACACCAGCTTTTCATCACTGGGCTCTGCCTGGGTAGCAACATGCAGTTATTCACGAGCAAATAGAAAGAATATCTGGACTGGGGGAAATTTACTAGGAAAAGCTTATGACATTGATAATACTCCAACGACCCAACATTTCTATGCTGGGAAGAGATGATTTTATCTAACCCTCATACCATGACTACTATTATTAAACAACACGCATTGTTCAGGTAAGGAAATGGAGCCCAGAAAGACTCAGTAATTTACCCCAGGGTGCACAGCTGCCAACGGGAGGAGCTGGCATTTAAATCTATCATCTGGCTTCAGAGAAGCTTTGCTTAACCACTGCATAGTACCTCCCCCTCTTTTTTTTTTTTTTTCTTTTTTTTTGCCGCACCACGCGGCATGCGGGATCTTAGCTCCCCGACCAGGGACCGAACCTGCGTCTCCTGCAAAGGAAGCGCAGAGTCTTAACCACTGGACTGCCAGGGAAGTCACTGCCCGCTCTTTCTCTTACCAATTTCTACCTGGTACTGAGGAGTAAAAGATATGGGGTCCTTCCCCCTAGGAGCTGGCTGAAACCACTGATGCCACACTGCATCTCTGGATGGAAGAAGCCAAGCCAGAAAGCACGTGGTGGGAGCCTCTAGTGATTTTCAGAGACCTCTGCGTGGCCTTCAAGACAAGGGAACAGTGTGGACCACAGTTTGGAGGCAGGAAGGTGCCCAACACAGCTGGCATCACTTACGTTCTCAGTCCTTGAGTTCCGCCCGAACCGGGGGCTCCGTTCTCCATGAACCCTGTTATAACTGGAGTCTTCTGGTACTTTCTACTTCTAACTTGAGGCCCTCAGATCTCCACATAGATGTCATGCCCTCCAGAAGTACTCCCTGACCAAGACCAGGTCAGTGCCCATCTACGTGACCCCTTCAGACTGGGTACAGAGCCCGCGGCCAGCACTGTCCCACTGAACTGTAACTGTCTGTCTGTCTCCTCTGCCGGACTGTGAGTTCCCCGAAGGTAGGAGACAATAGTGAGCACCTTTTTTAAAAATTTTATTTTATTTTTTTTGCGGTACATGGGCCTCTCACTGCTGTGGCCTCTCCCGTTGCGGAGCACAGGCTCCGGACGCACAGGCTCAGCGGCCATGGCTCACGGGCCCAGCCGCTCCGCGGCATGTGGGATCTTCCCGGACCGGGTCACGAACCCGTGTACCCTGCATCGGCAGGCGGACTCTCAACCACTGCGCCACCAGGGAAGCCCAGTGAGCACCTTTTAATCACCCGCTCAGCAAAATCATACCACCAAGGAGAAGGCACTCCAATCTTTTTAAAGGGATGGATCCCAACACCATGGAGTCGTGCACATGAAACAGAGAGCCAGAAGAGTTGTGGGTGTGAGCAACAGACAAAGAAAAAGGAAAAATAAGAACATGAGTGAGGGACGGTGTGGATAAGCAAGAGGGGGGGAATGGGCTCAGGTGTCAGGAAAGGGAGAGTTTATGTGTGAGCACCTGATGAGATAACGTGTGTGAGTGGGAGTGTGCGTATCCTACTCGTGGATGGGGACCAGAAGCACGCTCCCAGCTACCAGCAAACTAGACCCATCGGCCCTTGCTCAAATACAGTATAACTCTAAGCCCTTCCAAACCATTAAGACCGCTGATGCTGCTACAGAGAAAGCAGGATAAACTTGGCCAAATCCAAATAAGGAAGTGAGGTGTCCTCTTATTTTCTAGCTCATCAAACCCAAGTATCTTCTAAAAGGTGTCACTGATTTTATTCATTCAGCTCATCACCACTACCGAACACTCAGAGGGCTCCCACGGCATGCAGGGCCCGTGCCGAGCTGGGGGCAGGGCAGGTGCCAATAACAACAACAAAGCGTCATAACTACAATTAACTGAGGGCTGACTGTGTGTGTCTCCTGCTGTGCTCGGGGCTGAACACGTGATATCTTATTTCAGCTTCTCGAGAACATCGGCAAGGCTATAACATTATAATCGCCGCTGTGGATGTGGAAAGTCAGCTTAGAGAGGTTAAGGAACTGGCCCAATGTCACACAAGCCAGGAAGTGGCAGAGCCAGGATTTGAATTTTTTCTCGCTTCTGAGATGGAAAGTTACCCGCTGTCCACGCTTGCCTCCCTGCTCCTACCATGGAGGCGTTTGCGTTCTAACGTGGCAGTCGGTATGTATACCTAAGATACTTTTAAAATAAAGGCTGGTATCTACTCCGTCGGAACAAAGAGGATGAAAGGCAGGAGATCAGAGACCAGCAATAATCTTGGGAGGCTTTCAGAGGCTTATGAATTAAGAGGCCTTGAGGGGAACTGGGTCTAGATCAGCACCGAGGAGGTGGACAGGACACTTTTTTTTTTTTTGATGTGGACCATTTTTAAACTCTTTATTGAATTTGTTATAATATTGCTTCTGTTTTCTGTTTTGATTTTTTGGCCACGAGGCATGTGTGATCTTAGCTCCCCGACCAGGTATCAAACCCACACCCCCTGCATTGGAAGGTGAAGTCTTAACCATTGGACTGCCAAGGAAGTCCCTGGACAGGAAACTCTTGATGGAGGAATCACGTGAGTAAAGGTTCGACAGTGGGACGGGGCCTGGCCATCCTAGGTGTTTCATCAGTACTTGCTGAATGAGTGACGGAGTGAATGAGGGTGGTGAATGAGGTTTTCCTTTTGAGGAAAACCAGGTAGGCATATCAAAGTGGAGAAGGGCCCAGTCCGGGTGAACTGGAGCCCTCCTGTTGGGGATAAGGACATGACATGCCCAGGGTTTGAGTGGCCGGGCTGAGTGGCTTGAAACTTTTTGCTGAGCAAAGGGGAGTCAAGGAGGAGTTGGGAACAGGAGGCACTGCACACCCCAGAGTGGAGCTTTAGGAAAGGGAGCATAGCAGTGGTGGATGGGATGAGATGGAAGTGGCGGCAGAGGTGGGAGGGGGATGAGCGAGAGAGACCAGTTACAAATGTGTCCCCAGAGCCCAGGTGGGAGGTGGTAGGAGCCTGGACTTGCGGGAGGGAGGGTGGATTTAAGCGGAAAGAAACATCACAAAAGATAAATGCACAGGGTCGAGTAGCCCAACTGGATGTGAGAGAGCCAACGAGGGAAGTCAGAGGTGAGAGACGCCCCTTCAGTTTGGGGGAATGGCTAGAATGGCGACCCCAGAATGGGTACAGGGAGAGGGAAGCCTGGCTTTGAAGGAACAGGAAATCTAGCTGGGACCTGTAGATCTCAGCCCACGGCAGACATCTGGAGGAGCTGTGGCCTTCAGCAGTTTGAGATTTGGGAGCAAAGTTCAGAAGGGCCCCAGGGTTGGTCACCACCACGGCAGGCATCAGCCCAGGGATGGTGAGAGCCACACATCGGGAGGCAGAAACGAGGTCACAGAAGGAGGCCAAATGAAGACCGCTCACCCGAAACACTAGCAGCTTTGAGCTGTGCATTTCAAGGGATCTTTCTCAAGCTTATTTCTGTTGGTTTCTGGGGGCTTTGACATTTTATGGGTTGGACGCATGGCTAGTTCAGTTTAACTTGATATATCTATAGAAGTGCCAAAGCACTGGTGTGCTCTGAATGGCCATGTTCAATGCTACCTAAGACCCAGGGCTCCAGGAACCTGGCCAGACTCTGGCAGCTAATTGACACGACAGCAGTGCCAGAGGAGAAGACCCACAGCTGGGCATCTCGTCAGAGTGTTGGCACATAATATATTCTGATTTCTGTCCAACACCACGTGTTGTAAGTGGCTACCGAAGAGAACAGTGGTCGGCACAGGTACCAGAGGTTCTTTTGGGATCAGAAAAAAATCACTTCTTATTTTACCCTCTTTCCCTGCTTTGGACCCTGAAAACTTCCTTAGGGCTCCATTTTCTAAGCTTGCCCTTCTTGGCATTCGAGGGACTCAGCCTCCTTCTCTGTATTCAATGTCTGCAGCCACACCTCTTTATTCCCTCTCTGATGACTGGTCCTCCGAGCCCTCAGGAGGCCCCGTGGTCTGTCCACTGACCTTTGGAATCAGGGAAGGGAATTGAGATGAGCAACAAATTGAAATGGCATCACTTTGGCCAGAAAGGGTTCAATGTAACCTACTTAGAAGGAGGAACAGCAGCCACAAGTACCGCTGAAACAAATCATCCTTACTGCAGGGGACGAGGAGAAGAAAGAACGTGAGTATGTGTGTGTGTGCTCACTCCAGCACTGACAGAAAGATGCTGACTATAAAGGTGCAAAAACGCTCAAGTTCCCATAAAACTGTGTAGGAAAAAACCTCAAAAGCAAAGAAAGACATCATATTAAGAATTGCCATCCTTGGGCAGTGGAACTGTGAATAATTTCCTTAATTTATCTTCTTTTCATACGAATCATCTATTGATCTACTGATCTTAAAATGAAAAAAACTCAAACTTTTAAAAAGGAACACCACGCACGCCACAAAGTACGTGAAAGGGCCATGGGAGCTAGCTCGCTTTTAAGTCATTTCCCTCCTTTACTTTGCCTGCATCCTGCCCTTTCAGAAAGGACAGGAAGAAATCCCTGGTGATGCTTGTCTGCTCTGCCATGTTCCCCATTCTATGAAAATCAGGTCTCAAACCACCAGTCCAATATCTGATCCATGCTTTCTCCCATCGGCAACACAGCAGCGTGTGTTCCTCCGGGCTGATGGACAATTTGGCGGGACCAACCACCAGGCTATGCTGTCCTCTCTGCTCTAACGTGGAAAGTCTGGAAGGATTACGAGCACAAGAAGGGCAGGCCTCTTTTTCGTGTAATGTAAGCTTCCATGCTTGGAAACAGACCAGGGCTACATAGTAAGGCTGCTGCCTAGTTATGCGAGCTTACATGTGCATTACCTCTTTAGATTTTCGATGCCAGTCCTTACTTTCCCCAGGGCCTCTGTCTTTCACATCCTCCTCTCCGACGCCCACGCGGTGGTTGGTGTAAGTGATGGTGCGCCAGTCCCTCGGTGAATTGGAGATGCTGGCGATTTTGGATTCTGTGGCACTGTTCTCCTCTGTCAGGGACCTGGAGGATGGCCTGGTGAAGAGGCTTTTTTTTAACGCCTTGACACGAAAGCTTTCGCTGTTGCTTCCGCTGGCGTCTGAGGAGCACCAGTCGGCCGAGTTCTCCAGTTTGGGCCCGTGGGAGCCATTGTGTGCACGGAACATCCGGGGAGAGGCGCTCTCATCGGACGGAGCCTCGCTGGTCAAGGAATTCAGATCTATCTGCACACTCACCTTCTCGGGCTGCTGTATCTTCTGATCCAGCTTACTGAGCTTGCCCAGGACCTGGGAGATCTCCTCGCGGACACCCGACAGCGACTCGAGCTTCCGTTCAATTTCACCGATCCTGAGCACCAGTTTGCACACGCTGGTCTTCAACTCCTCTTCCGAGTGGTGGCTGTTTTCAGATCGGTTGCCCTTTTCTCCTTTGCTGCTGGGGAGCCCGTTGGCGATTTTGGTTAGGTTGTGCTCTGGTGAACTGTCACAGTCCGACTTGTGAAGCTGAGACAAAGATCCTGTGCTGTTGTAGCAGGATGACTGTATCACTCCCGTCGAGCCACTGATGCTCATATCATCAAGAAATCGGAAAATGTCACTGATGTCATCACTGACAACTTCCGAGTCGTCATCTGACTGCTTCATGGCGTGCCTGTCACTGTACTTGCCCTGCCCAGAGGCACACAAGTCTTTGCATTTCTTGGGCTCCAGGACGTGCTGCTCGGTCTGGGTGCCCACGCTACTGGTGTCTGAGCTGAGCTGCCTGCTGGTGCAGCTAATGCTCTTGTCTTTAAACTTTCTGACCGGTTCATGCTTCTCCAGGTCAACGGAGGACGAGATCTCTTTAGATTTGAGCCCGTTTGGCTTGGCCACGTAGCCGACGGGGAGAATTGGCTGCTGCTCCTGTGGCATGAGGTAAGCTGGGCGCCTGTCTGGGGTTGGGAAGTTGGGGGTCTGGTTGCTGGGATTTGAATAGCGGAGCTTCTCCTCGGAGGGATTTCTATTGAAAAAGGACCGTTCAAAGTCAGGAAGTTCTTCAGTGTTTAGGCTCCAGCTTTTGGCCGGCCAGGGGGTCTGTTTGCCCAGCCTCCCGGGACAGCGCCTGGCCTCCTGGGTCCCCATCACTGGAGTGGGTCCAAAATACGTGGAGGCTTGAAGGTCATCTAAGCTTTCGTGCTTTGCCCGCCTTTTGTCAGGAACAGGGGAGTACTCGGGATTCAGGTACTGGCTGTTGTAGGGCATCTCAAAGCTGTGATTGGGGAAGGGTGTCTTGTGGGACTCCTTTCGGCCCTGGGGTTTCCCGTGCTCGCCCTCAGCCTTGTTAGCGGGGCTGGCCAACTCGGGGGACACAGTCATCAGGTTGTGAAACTCCTCTTTGAAGATGTTCCTTTTCTGGACGCAGGACTGGACCACGAAGGGCTCCTCATTAGAAATGAAAGTCTCCTTGATGCCCTGGGTGAGGGGCAGGGAGTCCTGATCGGACATGGACTCGCTCTCGATGTTCATGGGGAAATAGGTTCTCTGCATCTCGCAGGGCTGAGGGCTGGCCACCGAGTAGGGGGCCAGAGCCTGCAGCCTGTCCAGGGAAGCCGCCCGGTTTTTCACATCTTTGCTGACCCCCAGCAGGAAGTTGGGCTCGGAGGCAGGTACAAACTGCGGGCAGTCCTTGCAGTCCATCTTGCGGCACTTGGAAGACTGGCGGGTGGGGTAGCCCCGGCTGAAAGGCTGGTCACTCAGCTCGCAGCTGAGGGACTCACACTGGGCCGCGGTGCAGAGTTCCGTGTCCGAGCGGCCCAAGTCAAAGGCTGCCTCCTTCTTGCACATCTTTTGCCGACCGCTGGGGAGCTTCTCCTTGGCCATAGCCCCGTTCATCTGAATGAGGTTGAATATCGTCACGATATCTGCCGCCACCATGATTTTCTTCGATTGCTGGTTGTTCACGGTGCATTTCATCTTGTCTTTGAATAACGTGGCTGGAAAATTGGGATCGAGACAAGCCGTGTAGAAAAGCACGCTTCTCAGCTTGGAGAGCTGGGACAGATCAAAGCGGGTGCACAGGGATTTGCACAGGTCCTGGTAGGAAACGGTGTTTTGCTTGCTGTCCAGTTCCTCCAAGATCTTCACCAAGAACAGGGAAGTTTCCTGATTGGTCTCCATGATTTAGAATTTCAAAGCCTCGCTGATGACACTGAAACTTCCAGTCAGTTCTACGGGGTGACAATATTGAAAAAGAGAAGCGGGGGAGAAAGGATTATAAACACCAGTGGAGTTTTAAGTCAAGCTGGTTAGGAACCACATAAAGAAATGCAAGGAAAAACTGTTTAATGTTTAAAAAATGTCATAAGTGCTTTAAAAATATTTATAATATACTTTGTAATTCACTTCCCAGTAAGGAAATTATTGACTATGATTTTGCATAAAGATGTTCATTATGTATATGTACAACTGATTCACTTTGCTGTACACCTGAAACTAACCCAACATTGTAAATCAACTCTACTCCAACAAAAATTTTTTTAAAAATAGTTACAATTGTAAAAAAAATGATGTTCATTACAATGGCATTTATAATAGTGAAAAAATAAAACATCTTAAATATCCAAATATTAGGGGAATGCATAAATAAATAAAACGGGTTACCATATATGATGATTTCTTACAAACATTAAAATTATATTAGGGCTTCCCTGGTGGCACAGTGGTTAAGAGTCCACCTGCCGATGCAGGGGACACGGGTTCGTGCCCCGGTCCGGGAAGATCCCACATGCCGCGGAGCGGCTGGGCCTGTGAGCCATGGCCGCTGAGCCTGCGCGTCCGGAGCCTGTGCTCTGCAACGGAAGAGGCCACAATAGTGAGAGGCCCGCATACCACCAAAAAAAAAAAAAACAATTATATTAATGTACATCCTTACAATGGAATACTACTCATCAATAAAAAGGAACAAATTACCAGTACTTGTAAATGACATGGATGAATCTCAAATGTATTATTCTTGAGTGAAAGAAGCCAGACTCAAAGGCTACCTATTATATGGTTCCATCTTAACGATATTCTGAAAAACAGATCCGTAGCTGCCCGGGGCTGGATGTGAGGCAAGGTGCTGGCAAAACGGCACAGAGAAATTTTCCTGGATGATGGAACTGTTCCACATCTTGCTTGGAGTGGTGGTTGCATGCCTCTATGCATTTGTCAAAACTCACAGAACTGTGTGCTAAAACGTGTGAATTTTAGCTATGTAAATTGTACCTTAATTATAAAATTACACACTGAAGACTTTTTATGACAAAAGAAAACTGTGGTACAATACTGAGTGAAAAATGTGAAAATAAATATGCTATGTAGTAAGATCTTAATTATATAAAATTATATCTTCTTGGAAATGAAACTGGAAGAAAATAATATACACTCAAATGTTAATGGTGGTTACCTTTGGATTGTAAATACGCATTTTCTTTCTGAATTAGTCATCTTTGTTTCTCAATATTTTATTATGCAAATTTTCAAACATACAGCAAAGTTGAAAGAATTTTATTTTTTTAATTAATTAATTTATTATTATTATTTTTTTTGGTTCAGTTGGGTCTTCGTTGCTGTGTGTGGGCATTCTCTAGTTGCGGCGAGCGGGGGCTACTCTTCGTTGCTGCACGTGGGCTTCTCACTGCGGTGGCTTCTCTTGTTGCGGAGCACAGGCTCTAGGCGCACGGGCTTCAGTAGTTGTGGCTCGCGGGCTCTAGAGCGCAGGCTCAGTAGTTGTGGCACACAGGCTTAGTTGCCCTGCGGCATGTGGGATCTTCCCAGGCCAGGGCTCGAACCCTGCATTGTGTCCCCTGCATTGGCAGGTGGACTCTTAACCACTGTGCCACCAGGGAAGCCCTGAAAGAATTTTATAGTGAACACTCATATAACCACCATCTGTATTCCACCACTAACATTTTACTATATTTACTTTAGCACATACCTATCCATCTACCCTTCATGAAGCCATCTTGTTTTTTTATAAGCACTTCAAACTAAATTGCAGACATCAGTACACCTCCCCCTAAAGGTTTCACCACGCATATAATTAACCCAAGTTCAATAATTGTTTACAGTTTCTCTTTTAATATAAGATTTATATACAATGAAGTGCACAAAACTTGAGTCTATTTGCTGAAGTTGTGACAAATGTATATGCCTGTGTTATAAGCAAAACCCCTACAAAGATCTAGAACGTTCCCCTTGCCCCTTCCCATTCAAGCGCAGTTCTTATTTTTTACAGGTAACTCTAATATTTTCTTTATAATTTCCCTTCTTTTCCCAAATTCCTACCATGACCACATATTATTTTGTAATCACCAAACAATAACTAACCTTATTTTGAAATGGGAAGAAAAATCTACATTAATATATCTTGGATGGAAAAATGAAAAACATCAAACCGAAAGCTTAACAAAGCTTAAGAGAAAGTAAAGCTCCTCATGGATAAATATGGACCCAGGTTCTGAGATTTACAAGGAAACATCAAATCACACACGTTACCCTCCCCAGTCACACCCTGCTTAAAAAAGGCATTTTGACGATTGACTTATTGATTTTAAATTTGACTCAGGGCTTCCCTTGGTGGCGCAGTGGTTGAGAGTCCGCCTGCCAATGCAGGGGACACGGGTTCGTGCCCCGGTCCGGGAAGATCCCACATGCCGTGGAGCGGCTGGGCCTGTGAGCCATGGCCGCTGAGCCTGCGCGTCCGGAGCCTGCGCTCCGCAACAGGAGAGGCCACAACTGAGAGGCCCACGTACTGCACACACACAAAAAAAAATTGACTCAGCCCACACACAGCCAGCCTATTTTCTAGGGAAACAGTGTCTGTGGTGGGGGGGTGTTAAATTTCAGTTGCTCTGGACCATGGGGTCTCTGTCCACCCTGAGGGCAGTGCTCTCAATGGGCATCTATACACATTAGCGAGCTCTCTCCACGAACGTCTGCGGGGACATGCAGAGACCAGTGGTTTGGATTTTCTTGTATGGAAAAGGCAATGGAGCCCCGAGAGGCTCTGTTCCTGCCCAGAACAAGTCACAGAAAACCCACGTCTCCCCACGCAGCTCTCCCTGCCCTGTCCCAGCCGCCCAATCCGTGTGATAGAAGCACTGCATGTCAGGATGTTCTGGTTTGTTAAAGGTGGGGACAACCTGCCATGCTTGATCTGCAAGGAAATAAATAGGCACAGAAACCAGAGTGGAGGACAAATGAATGTAATTGACAGAAGAGCAACTACCACTCATGCACATCATATTTCATAGTTTGGTGACACAAAGCACTTTCAGAGATGCTCTTTTCTAGAATTCTCATAACAATCTCAGGAGGATTCTTTCACTATTACTCTCCAACAGATGAGGAAACAGGCACGGAGCACTGAAAGCAGCAACTAGGCGTAACTAGAATCATCAGAGTTGGATTTGCAGCCCAACCCCACTTTCCCGTGAGACTGTCTCAACTTTCTGTTCTACTTTGTGTGGCTAAAACTGTATTAATCCCAGGTCAAAAAAGAACTCGGAAAACCAAGGCCCAGTGTCTCCTGAAGTGAATAAAGGAAACACAAGTGATCTGCTAAACCTGAGTCATTTTCTATTAAGACTGAAATTGAGGGGATTATGAATGGCTGGGAAGATAGGCAGGTGCCCCTGTGCAAATGGGCACATGGCCACATGCCTGGTGTGTGTGCATGTGATGATTAATCACCATAGAGAAACTCCATGTAGATTTTCCACAATATGCTAACGAAAGCCATAGAGGACTAAGGAGTAAAAGAGAGGCTCAAAGGAAAAAGCAGAGTTCTTGGCTCTGTGACAGTGTAACAGGATCCGGCCTGCAGCACGCAGCCCCTGGCAGCTACCTCTTCTGGCCACACAAACAGCTCTTTGGTGTGCGAAGAGCACTCCCTTTTCACAGATGAGGAAACTGAGGAAGGGAGAGGGAACTTGAGTTGCCTGGGGTCTGCCATTGGGCTAGGGCCCCAGTAGACCACAGCCCGGGATGAGGATATGCTGTGGGATGAGTAGCAGGCTCTGTCTCATGCCAGGAGGAGCAAAAGCATTGCCACAAGTGACAGATGTAAACTGGTGGAGGGGGCAGGCTGAGTGGGACAGGTAGTGCAGCCTGACCACCTCCTGTGTACTGGGGCTTTTTTTTTTTTTTTAGTACCTCTATTGGAGTATAACTGCTTTACAATGGTGTGTTAGTTTCTGCCGTATAACAAAGTGAATCAGTTATACATATACATATGTCCCCATATCCCTTCCCTCTTGCGTCTCCCCCCCTCCCACCCTCCCTATTCCACCCCTCTAGGTGGTCACAAAGCACCGAGTTGATCTCCCTGTGCTATGCGGCTGCTTCCCACTAGCTATCTATTTTACGTTTGGTAGTGTATATATGTCCATGCCTCTCTCTCACTTCGTCCCAGCTTACCCTTCCCCCTCCCCATGTCCTCAAGTCCATTCACTAGTAGGTCTGCGTCTTTATTCCCGTCTTGCCCCTAGGTCCTTCATGATCATTTTTTTGTTTGTTTTTTAGATTCCATATATATGTGTTAGCATACGGTATTTGTTTTTCTCTTTCTGACTTACTTCACTCTGTATGACAGACTCTAGGTCCATCCACCTCACTACAAATAACTCAATTTTGTTTCTTTTTATGGCTGAGTAATACTCCATTGTATATACGTGCCACATCTTCTTTATCCATTCATCTGTCGATGGACACTTAGGTTGCTTCCGTGTCCTGGCTATCGTAAATAGAGCTGCAATGAATATTGTGGTACATGATTCTTTTTGAATTATGGTTTTCTCAGGGTATAAACAAGACGAAAAGACAACCCGCAGAATGGGAGAAAATATTTGCAAATGAAGCAACTGACAAAGGATTAATCTCCAAAATTTACAAGCAGCTCATGCAGCTCAATAACAAAAAAACAAACAACCCAATCCAAAAATGGGCAGAAGACCTAAATAGACATTTCTCCAAAGACATACAGATGGCCAACAAACACATGAAACAATGCACCGGGGCTTTACAGGAAATGTCCACAACAGCCTGGAGAGGGAGGCACCACCACTCTGCACCCTCTGCTGGAGGCGTGAGGAAAATGAGGCCAGAGGTATTACACGGACGAGGAGGACCTGAAG